TTTTCATTTAAAAAAGGAAATTGAAAACACACCACTCCTAGAAATGCTTGACACTGAATTGGCTATTGAAATGGTATCAGTAAAGTATTTATGTATTCCATATTTTGTTCCATACATCAGCTTTCCTTGATGCGTTAGACTTGGAAGCGTGCCACGTGAGCTGTAATGTTGCCATATATGAAAGACCGCCTTGTTTTAAAAACGGACTAAATCTTTTAGGGCACAGGAAGTAAAGTAAATCAGTTTGAATACATGCACATCTCCCTTTGCCCCTACTCCTGCACGTTTTACTTTGTCTGTTTGCTATTTGTCTTCAGAAGCTGGCTGTGCTTACGGTAAGTATCAGTGTTCACCTAATAGCTAAAAATAGTGATAAAAATAACTCCCACCATAAAAACTGAATGAATGACAAGAACAGTATAGTTTCATGAACCAAGAAATCCACAGAAGAAATATCACAATTTAAAGTTGGTTTTACAACATTCTTTAATTTAAAATGGAGCAAAATACTTCTGTGGTAAAATCACAGAAGTTCTTCACTCTATGCTGTAAAAGAGATTCAAGAATGTATATTTCAAAATGTTTGGGTGTTGGTTTTTTTTAAATAAAAAAATATAATCCAAAGCAAATGCAATAGAACTCTGCATACTTGAAACATATTTTCTGAATTTATTCTAAGTCTCTCACTGCACCAGAGGGTTGTGTGTATGGATTAGGACTAGACCATTATTTCACCATCTATCTCCATCCTGAATTGATTGCAGCGAACACTGCAGAATGAATTGCAGATGTCTCCTTTTCCCTCCAGTTTGGAGGACCTCTGGTTTCAGCCCCATTTGATCTGAACTGGGCTAAGGAGTGCAAGTCTGTCACTGTTTAGAGGGATTCGGTGGAAGAAATCTTTGCACCTGAAAGAAGTTACTCTCTCTCTATACACAGCCTGTGCTCTGAAATGTGTGATGCTGTGGGATAGTGGCCTGTATGAAACTTTTCTGGTGTGTCCCTGCTAATTCAGGATTATTGTTTGAAATGTCAGAGTCCAACAGAAAAAAAAAAAAAAAATCAGAACTAACTTTGCAAATGGGGAATTTGGTTTGACATGAAAGCATAAAAATGTTTTTGAATTCAAGAAATTAAGCAATTTTAAGACATGGTTTTCCTTAAAGTTCTTCCAAATTTCAGTCAAAGTTCAATGTATATGCTCCTGTATTATAAAACTGGAGCAAATGTACATGAAATCATACACAGGCAGGTTTTCACATGTAAAAAATAGAGTTTCTCCTCATGAGGGATTCTTTCTTCCCCTCCCAAACCCTGATCACTTCTGAATGTATGGCTAGCAGAATATCCACAGGGAGTTTGTATGAAAAATGTCTATACATAAAAGCCCTCATGGAATAACATGGTTTAGGGGAAACTTGGCTCGTGAATATGATTTAAATACCATTTTGCCTTTAGCTTTCATATCATCAGGCTATTTTTTAACAATTAGAGTAAAAAGTGTTGGTTGTTGGGTTGTGGTGGGTTTTTGTTTGTTTGTTTGTTTTTTCATTTAAAAAAAATAATGATTTTTAGAAACTGGAGTTCTAGGCTAAGTATCAGACACTACAAGCTTTAGGAGTTCAGATCACAAGAACTGGTAATGCTTTTATCAGTGGTGGCTCTGCTTTGTGTTCCATCACCACTCCCTCCCCTGAGAGATCAACCTCTTAAAAACAGAGCTGCTGAGGTTCTCTGGGGATGTGGGTGGTGGGACAGTGGTGGTTGCAGAGCTGCTGTAGGTGAGTGCTCCCAGCCCCATAGCTCCCTCGGAGGTTAGGGAACCAGCTGCAGAGGCAAGGAACAGGTAAACAGTATCAGTAAGAGCAGAATGGCTCCTGCAGGAGTTTCGCTATTAAAGAGGGTGGAAAAGTGGGATATAAAGGCTGTTCTCCTGGGCGGTGGGGGGGTGGTGGTGGTGTCTTCCAAGCACATGGAAGAGCTTCGCATTTTGCATCGTACTTCTTCAAAAGCCACCCCCCCCAAGGAGAGTCTCTGCTCTGACAAGATAATCTTGTACCCTGGTTAGAAGTGTTTTGAGGTGTGCTTGAAAGGGGAGCCTTATATCTCCTTACAGAAGGCAGGGCTACGGAACTTATGGACAACCAGAGATAAATCTGCCTGCCTGCGATGATACAGTAGCAGAGTGGGGTTTAGGGCTTTGCAAGGGTGAGAGAGAGGTTAAGCAAAGGTAAGTGGTCTGTAGAGGGTTTTTTTTTAACCCCAAGAGGTCCAAAGAAAGGTAATTAGGAAAATCAAGCCTAATGTCATTAGATTCGTATGAGAAGTACAGAGGTCTGTGGATAATTTCAGCGATCTGCAAACTGGGTGGCAGACATTGTTCGAGGGGGTAAAAACCAGTTGGATCGCAGTAGAATGGCAATCTGAAATTGGAGGGCAAAACCAACACACTATTTCCCGCTACCGTGTTCAATTTAAGTAACAAAACACTGCCAGCTTTTTGGGAAAGCCTCCCCCCTCCAATCTGAGTGCATTTTTGATTAACCTGAACTTTGAAATGCAGCAAAGGAGGGGAGCAGGAGCCGTGCAGTTGGTTACAGGCTCAGGATCGCTTTTAGTTATCAACAGCTGAATTGGAGGATACAGGCTGTGCCTGCTCACTGCGAGCAGCAGACTGTTAGAGGAGTTCGATTTCTCTCACTCCTTCTTCCACCCACCTCCATCTCCTCTGTGCCTGTGTCTGCGCTCCCACATGCTTCAAATCTGTGTACCTGGACTGCCTTCCTTAACAGTTCAATGTGAGTGTTAGCAGAATGAAAACCAGATGGACCAGCAGTTCCCACTGTTATCTCCCCACCAGCTCTGGCAAGCCTCCCTTTCTCTCTCCTTTCTTGGCATGGCAGAAATATTTGCCTTTATTTAGGAGGGCTTGGGCTCACTGCTGTGCCCCTTTCCCTCTGTTGCAACATGAGCTGAAAGCTATTTATTCCCTTGTTGCTGAGGTTGGTTGAGGTGAGTGCAAGATGAATTCAGCTATTAAGGAAGCAATTAACGTTTCAAGACGAGTTTTCATAGTTCTTTATACTTGTTGAAGATATGGATTTAACTGTTTCAGTATAGCAATATGGAAAGGAAATTTGTATAGAATATGTTTAAAAACTTGCTTTTGTTTTCCAGCATGTAATAATTTACTGTTGCTTGATTTGCAAATCAAACCTCACCTGTCTGTGTAGCAGCCTTAATATTTAAGCTAATCATTTTG